TTTGTAGATCATATAAAACAGTAGGTGCATCGAATTTTGAATAGTAATTTAGATTTAAATCACTTTGGCTCGATCACCGGTTTCAAATTTCAGTCAGCACTGTGCTATGTCATGTGCCAAGAATGTGTTTAATGGATTTTGGAAATGTGTGCGATGCGCAGGTTATATGTATATTTTGATTTAAATCTATAGATCGTGTTCTCTCTATGCTTCACAAACAACACAGAAACATTAACTCATTTGCATTTATAATAAATGTTTGTCTTCATTAGATTTAGACAGACATACACATTATAATATATATATATATATTCGAATTCATATTTGCTCCACGATGCATATAGCATTGTGATAATTGCTTGTACAATGTACACGCAACGATGAAAACCAATGAGAATAACAAGCGTCAATTGAAATTCTCACTGACTCTGATTGTTTAATAAGTATAACCGTTCGAAATGCGTTCGAATTGTAAATTCGAATTTACATTAAAATTTATGTCGAACGAAAATATTCAGTTTTTGGTATTTTTGCAAACATTGCGCGGATGAAAATTGTTTTAATTTCTAAATTAAATGAACTTAATCACATAATGTTGGAAATTTCATAAGCTCTTTTCCCGTGCTTCTTCATTTTTCTTGCATCCTTTTGCTCTTCTTCGTCACCCGGCCAAAGACCGCGCCACCTAGAACGCTAAAGTTTCTTTCAATTGAGCACATACTTTTTTCAGTTTCTTGCACATTAAGAATTCCAATAAACAATGCCGAAAAAACCCCATTCCCTTCAACTCAGTCTGAATAATGTTCTACGTCGCAAATTTAATAATTTTCCGCTTGAAATTTCTTGCAAATATTAATTAACTCTTCGCTTTTTTTGCTCTGATTTATTGTGCATCCGTCGTTTTGTGAAAAGCGTTTGTATTTTTTATGCACCTCGTTTCAATCTGTTCAACTTCATTTCGTCGTAGTGTATTTTCCGTGTATTTTGTATATAAAAAAATACATGTTCCATCAAATCATTTTCATAGCACGTCATTCTATCCATGTGGAAAAAACTACAAGAACAAATTCAATTTCAATATATAAAATATTGAAAAAAATTGAATATATCTCGCGAAAGTACATGGATGAAAATAACATTTCGATATGACCGATTTTTTTTTTGTTGCTGCCATGTGGAGGAGCTTGTTGAGAATCTTTTTATAGTTGAAGTGGAGAAAAACACTGGGCGATGTCATCTGGTTGTGTTTATAAAATCGGTACAAGTGTGTTAGACAGAAATCTGTCGATCTTAATTTTATCATGAACAAGAGACATAAAGAATGATTGAAAACGATTTTATCGAGGATATTTAATTTGAACTTCACAGGAAATGGCTGAAAGTGGGAAAAAAACATGAAAAAAATTGTGTCAAATTATTGCAAGTTGATTGCTCCGAACAAGAGACACACACAATATGCGTTCCAATGCGATTTGATCAGATCAGAGAAAAGAGGCGTGAATTGGATGCGACAGACACTCATACACGTGCAAATGCAATGCACTTAAGCAGATTTTCATGTTCATTGAACAAAAGCCGAAGAAGCGGAAAATGGGAAACAGTTTTGAAGCGAACGCTTTGCATCGGATGCAAAAATGCAACTCCTGTGCGCGAGCAACAACAGCATCGTCACATAGTTAGCATTGTCGCATTCATGCTTTATTGCATGTTATTTCGCGTATAATTAAAATATACATATGATTTAATTTTGAATTTTATATTTACATTTAACATTATAAATGAAAGTTTAGAATGGAAAGAGAGATTTTTGTATTTAGCGAGCGGGCCAAAGCAAACATCCGACAATGGCACATTTTCTATAAATGAATTTAAAATTTTATGGTCTCACTGTGTCTTTCTATTCAGACACAAGCGTTGCCACAAGCATGTTCAATTCAATAGCTCTTATAATAAATAATATTGCACATGCTATTCACTGGAATCTGTGCGCTTATAAATATACACAACTGACCATGTAGCCAATCGAGTTTGATTTGCATCAACGTCATTCAATTGAACAGCGCAGACGAATTGCAAATGCGATTTCAAATTTCATAACGTTTTCAGTCCATGTGCAGATCGATATTTGGTAAATCGTTATCAAACATTCTAGCTATTTGTATATCTGCTATTTAATAATAAAACTCGCCCATTTGAATTATTTGATATTCGAATTTTTGAATATGAATATCGGAATCGAGTGACATTTGAAATTATATTTATAGAATTAAATAGAACTCATTCTCACTCAATTGGATGGCGGTTATGTTTCCTGTGATACTAATGAAACGCACAACAAAACAACTTAAGTGAGAGAGAGAGTTGAAGAACGAGACGCACCATCATCAGAGAGAGCATCAGCCACGATTGACTGAGTAAAATCAATGTGCGAACATTCTCAGAGATTGCAATAGAGACTTAGTATTTGCCATACACAAAAATTGCTGCACATTCATAACATTTCATCATCATCATCATCAAAATTGCTTGGTACAAGCACATTTCTGGCTTCTAAACATTTTTGACACGAATGACGCACAAGCATACACACTCATCATTGAAATTATTCCCGATGCGTATGTCGTGATCAACCATTATATGGCCAAAACGTGTTTGCTCCTGAGTTTGGACACCTCTCCATTTTAAGCAAGCAAAGCTAGACATTTGATACTGAATATGTTTGCTGTAGAATTTATATTGAAGGTGTTGAATTTTGATATTACCGAGGTGTTGAATTTTGATATTACCGAATCGTTTTCGTCAGAATCATTCAAATAGCATTAAAGAATAGGACCATAGCCAAACGAAGTAAACGCAATATGCATAGATATTTGACTGTGGTTTCAAACGAACATCAGTGAAATGTATTAAGGAAAATTCGACAAATTGTAAGCCTAGAACTCATTTTCATATCCCAAATCATCATCGACTTATATCAATCATCTAAATTCCAACCCATTTTTGTGTGATAATTTATTTATTATTATATGTGCGTATGATTATTGCTTTTTGAGAATCTATTTTTATCGAGCAACATCGTTTCGGAGAAAATGTTTTGCGGCAATAATTTCAAATGCAAATATACCCACACTGCTTCAGTACTACGAAGGGTACTGCATGGCAAGGCGGAGAGAAATCGACTGACTGAAAAGATGTTATCAATTCAAAAGACGTCATGTCACATGATGAAGTTAAATTTGAATGCCTTCCTGTTTGGAACAGAATGCAAAGCAAAGACTTGCAGGTGCCGCGAATGTGTTTTAGAAAAAAAAAACAAGAAGCTTCAAAACAGTACGTCGGTTGTTGGTGTACAAAATCAACTACACGTCATTTCATTAAAACATAAATGAAATTGTGCGCGAAATAACCGCGAGCCATGTGGGTATATATGCTTGACAGACATTCCTAACACGCGTACACCCGCTTTCTTTAATGTAAACATGTATTTTACATTGAATTGCTTTTTTCTAGCACTGTTTTTTTTATATGTGAACTTAAAATAGCTAAATCTACTAAATCTATGTATTATTCATTTGGCGCTAATGAAAACGAGCTTTTTGTCATGAAATGGCACGAAGACGTGGAAGAAGAATGGAAATAAGTCTTTGGTTAAAAGTGATTTGCTATCATTTGGCTCAATGCACACATTTTTATCGTTTTACGAATATAATGATAATCTGATGAAATACAGCACTATCCTCTTTCACTTTCGTCTTTTATGATACGCTTAACCTCGATATTTCCTTGAAAAATGTCGAATCAACAAACATTCATACGCGTCACGAATCCGGAATATTTAAAACCTTTCTCTTCTCGTATCGGTGTGAATTACTCAAATGAATAAGAGTCTTTTGCTGCACATATGTATGGCACATGAGGTGGCATATAAAAAATAATCTCATAAAGTGGAAAGGATCTCATCGAACTTTTTTTTCCGTAATTTGCTAAGCAAAAAATTAGGAAATGACACCGAACGAAGACGTTTACAAAATTTAATGCAATATATGCTTTTTACTTTGAATGCGTTGTTGGGTGGATGTTTTCATTCTTTGTGTGCGCATCAAGCACCTTATCAAACATCGTCGATGATAAATATGTATTCGGGAATGAGGAAGAGTTTATTTCATAAGTATGTGTACATGTTGCATACCTAGAAGAGCACCTCTTGATTTTTTCACGTATCATCACCTTTACATCATTGTATAAATACCAGCGGCACATAATGAAAGCTGCAAAACCTACAAAATACCTAGTCTATCGCGTATAATGAAATGGATTCGAATCATTTCACATTGACACTTGTTGTAGTATGTGAAATCAAGCCTTCTACTTTTCAAGATTTCACGTCAATTCTTGTGTGTATTCCGCGCTTATATAATAGAACCGAAAACGGATTATAATGCCAGATAATTTCATCAATATTACTTTATGTACGATGAAAGCGTAACGATAAAAGCAGAAGCATCACTAGCACGTAGAATGATGCGTTGAAGCTGATACGTCGATGTTTTTCATCGCCTGATTTGATCAAGACGAAAAAAGCACCCATGTCAAAAATATTTATGGCCTTACATATCTCTAAGTATGGTAAGTTTAATGAATGTAAGATGTAGTACACTATGGTATTTAAAAAGAACTTCTTTCTCCGCATCGACTACAAAGAGAACAAGAACACAATGCGCCTCTCGAATTAAATCGATTACAGCGTTAGATAGCAATTTCTTGAATGAGCACCGTTTGCTATACAGCAGCGCTACTACTTGTCAATTTATACAGCTCTATTTTAATGAAATTCATATAGTTCAATAAAAAAAAATCAGATTTAATCAAGTATTTTCACTATGGGATAATAAAAGCAGAAAAATGAAAGCAATATAATACTTTATAGATATATTTTTTTTTCAAAAACATATCAAAACCTAATCTTCACTAAATAAAAATATTCTTTTGTTTATTTACAGGCACTTGTTTTGGTAGTTCGAGGCGATTTTTAACTGATTTTTTGCAAGAATTTCCAACACCGGGCACCGGACCATATTTTGATTCAACGATACCTAGTAACATTACAGGCTTAGTTGGAAAGAATGTACATTTAGTATGCAAAGTCAAAAATCTCGGCAATCGAACGGTAAGTTACAACTTCATCTGTATTTTAAACTTTTTTGTTGTAAGGAGATCAGGAATATTCCACACAAATTTACTTAAGAAGAAAAAATCAAAGAAAATAATGTAAAATATTGTGTGATACATTCAAAAGCGCTGCGAATCGAATATAGTGTGTATTTTTCAATGGAAACGTGTGATGTCCTTTTGGATGAAGATATGTGTATTTTTCTCACTTGAAATAAATGCGCTCAGGGAATACGTTATGTGCATTCAGATTGTCATTTTTATTGTCGGTATTTTTGTATGTGACTGACTGTGCATTGTTCGGAGACCTAAATTTTATTCTCCGTCACATTTTTGCCAAAGCTCCAAAATGCCATTCATCCTAGAGTCGTTTGGCAGCATGGTCTTGTGGATTTTCTCTGTGTGTGCCTATTCAGTCATATTTACCGACCGATAAACCTTGAATGTGTGACATCATCTCTATTCTCTCTCTTTCACGCTTTTAATGTCAATGCATTTGCCAGCTAAGCTGTTTGCGAGCTGCAAAATTAATTGGATCTTAAATCACTGCCGTGATTTCTCACATTTTGTTCAATAAAATATAAGAATGACAAAATGTGGCTTTTTATTTTTGTGGATATCAAATCGGCCGGTCGCAGTCGATCCAAATTCATTTCTGATGCACATACACGCATTGCGATAAAAATTTAAACGACGCATACACACAAACCTACCAAACAGTTAAAATACACATCTCTCAATATTCGGTTTTATTGAACTAAAATTGGAATGGTAATAATAAAATTCCTTCCACCTCATAAATTTATGCGATAAATCTGCTTTCAAGCCGAACCATAAATATTCTCTCTCTATGTCCAAACAAAAAAATTTATCATCGATTCTGACAGCTGCATTGCAAAAAATAGACACACACATTCGTACAAGAAATTCTCAAAATATTTGCATGCTGAAACCAAAAAAGCCATTGTAACAATTTTTATGAGTGCACATACACTCACACACAATTGAATTGTTTACGTGCAATTTCGGAGTTTTGTGAGATTGTGAGATGAAACTTAACGAAAAGTACTTTTTGGTAAACACCATAGTCATATAGATTCATATGCTCCGGCATAGTGAGATTATCTCACTGAGATATTAGATTTGTATAAATTTTTCATCGTAAAAAAAATAACATAAAATTTCAAGTGAGACAAACTCAATCAATAAGTTTAGAAATGTTTGTAGCATTCAAATGTGCATATTCAGTGAACTTTGTTTTGTGAATAGATTGATTTTTCATTTCTTGAAGTCTGGTTTGGTTGAAAGATTAAACGTCTTTGTATCAATGCCACATGAGAACAGTAATTTCACAGCGGAACTTGACACGCCGTACAAAAATCGAACCGAAAATGCCAGAGCAAAAAGTCGTCGACAATCGATTCGAATCGATTTGCATCTCGTATTGAACAAGTGATTCGATTACCTTGATCATAGCATTCAGCATAAGAATTGCTCACACAAAGGCTGAATTTGACTTTTTCACTTTTCGGTCGATGTAGAAAAAACTTTATCTTATGTCTTTTTCAAGCGAATTGATTTTCCATCGTTGCATAAATGTATTTGATTCGAGTTTATTGTTCGTTTGACTTGCGAGTCGCAAGTTGCGACATAGTTTCATGACGAATGGCTCATGCCGCGTATGAGTATTGTAAATTTTATCTTTTTCAGTCTCTTTTTGACGTCCACGTCATCTTCTCCTCATCGCAATTTGCATAAGCCATTTCCTTTAGCGAAAATATTGTTGTTTGAACACACAAGTAAGACCCGAACACAATGCAGATGAATTTCAAATATCTCAGTCCAGATACACACTCACATACAACTTACAAACAAAGTCAAAGTCTTGAATAAGTGTTGTTAGTGTTGTTTTTGTTATACAAAGAAACGAGCGTGAGTTTACCCCACGAATTCTATTACATAGCCTCATTTCCATTCAAATGTTCCAATAAATTTGTTTATCATGATTTGTTCTACATTTTGTTGATGGTTTGATATCTCGTACGAGAAAAAAATATGTTTGCTCCTGATTGCGTATGGATCTCTTCATGTACATAGACACAACGATGCGTGTATGGATGGGAAAATGGTCGCAACCAATAAAAGAATAATATTCTGACAATTTATCATCGAAAGTCAATAAATTACGACGATGTGAGACTATGAGTATACAAAGTGAGTGCGCGCCGTTGTCATATCAGAGCGACCGAAAATGTGGGGAAAGTTTTTAAGCATCGGAATTTAAAGTCTGTTGTGTCACCGTAGGTGATGTCTGGGAGAACGAAACGAGGCGGCGATTGCTTGTGTATGTGTGTGGTACGTTTTTGTTCGACACCAAATAAAATTTCATGATTTACTTTTATTAGTTTTACCATTCTTCTTTGCTCGATGGCTGTTTGTTTAGCGCCAGCAGCAAAACTAACAAAGTATGAAGAATAGAATGAGCGATCGAGCAAGAGAGCAACCAAAACCACCATTGGTATTCGTTGCACATGACTTTGTTGCACATTTTTTAATGTTATGACGCTAGCACATGGAACAAATGCCACACGAAGTCATCGTAATTGGTCCTTCCTTCTTCTTGTTTGAAACTTCATAAACTTTAGATGTGGCATAATTAATGTAGAGCTCACGCGACTACGGAAATTGCATATTTCAATTCTCATAAATACCCTCCGTTTGCAGAATATAGACGAAAAACAAGAAAAACTTTTCTACTTTGTGTACCATGAGATTTGTGTGAGTGTGTGTGTGATAGGTATGGAAATCGGTTTGCTATTTTCAATTTTTTTTTCGGACATTTCAATGTGGGCAGAGTTGCAAAGCCCCATACAAATTCGTTCGATCATTTTCACACGTTGAAATATTCAATCGTATTTTAAGTTGCTGCTTCAACTATTTGGTTTCTCCGTTTTACATTATTTCACTTTTTTCCAATTTTGTTTGCATTCGTTATATGCACTTTGTACGAGGAACTTTCCAATGTATGAATATTTTGTTTTTGCTTCGCCCATCTCAAACAAGTCAAACTCGAATAAAAAGAAAATCAACGTCATTTTATTTCCTTTTCTCGAATTTGCCGATGAGAAGAAAAAGTTTCTTTTTTCATCACTTGCCATTGCCACTATTACTTTTGCTGCTCATTTTTCATTCTCTTCGCATTCTTATCCTCATGAGAATCAAGATTTATATTTGCTTTGCATGTTCTATAACGTAACGATGGTAAAATGCATTCCAAGAAGAAATTCCAGTGTATTGGCCAGGCGTTCAAGCCAGCACACAGACACACACACGAACAGAGTGCACACAAAACGCATTATGCTTACAATATCAACGTATGCAAATTTTCGATTCACATTACCAGTCGATATGTTGCACGTATGCTTATGTTTTAAGTCGATGAAAATGTGCACACCACTTCAGCTCGCTTCTGCTACATTTCTCCAAGCAACCAGTTCAAAATTACAGTGAAACAAATGAAGAAGGAAGCAAAAAAAATGTGCAATGCATTTTGCTGTTTGCTGAATCTTGAACATTTTTCACTCGGTTGGAGAGCACGGAACATTTCTCAATCGTTGAATCTCAACGGAATCAAAATTTATTTGCATCCATTGCAACAACAATAACAACAACATGGACAACATGACATGTTTATTTTCAGTTAACAAGATTATCTCCCGTAATGTATAACTCGAAACGGAATTTTATTTGATAGAGAAAAACTTTCGAAGAAAACTTCAAATATGAGTAGTATTGCAATTTACAACTGCAACTGCCGTGCATACATACACAAACCAAAAGAGGAAAGCTTTTGTATTGAAACTGTTCAGAGCAAAAGATAAACAATTTTAGTGTGGAATTCAATCGAGTCTTCAATAAAATCTTCTGCACTTGATTGAGTACTTTGAATTACATTTTTTTACTTTACAAATTTGAATGTAAGGCTCTCTCGTTGATGCATTTCGTGTGCTTCTTCAGCAAAAGCTTGCTGGGCGAAGGTAAAACTATAATCAAATGTCAATTTCAATTTAATATTGTTATTTATGACATTATTAAACTCTACCTTAATTCGTAACCCAAATTCTAAAGAATTTAATTTGATTTGGCCTTTTCAGTTAATATTTAACTTCACATTTTCAATAATTTAGAAGATTGTTGGTACAATTAACCAAGCATTATTGAATCCAAAATGCAATGCAAAACTTTTGATTATGAAAACAAACACACGAATCTACAAATTGAAGATTTTCGAGCGAGCGTACAGGGATTTGGCAACATCATATTAGTTTTGTAAATAGTTCTCGAATACGATTGCAAACGCAAGTGATAGTTGTACCGTTGTATTTGGAATTACTGTGAAATTATTGATTGAAAAGGTGAAATCCCTCAATTAATTTAGAATAATCTAAATACTTCTTTCTATTTCATTTGATATGTGGATTAATTGTCCGAAGAATGGGGCACAAATTCACATTTTATTCAATGATTTTCACATATGCCCACGCATGTGCATCTGCTCGCCCATTTGTATTTTACCAACATGAATCATAAATGGAATACTAACATTGATGAATAAATATTGAATCGCTTTAAACTTGGCTCCCGACCAATTTCATCTTGTTTTTCAATACAGAAATAGTTGGACAAGGCTTACTTAATCCATTTACAATTATATTCGCCATAATTCAAGTGAATTGAGTTCATTGACTTACCATTGCAAAGAAAGCATCTAGGAAATAATAATTGAAAGTTATTTGCGGGTTTTTTGTGCGGGAAATGAAACAAGAAACATTTTTTAAAACTCATCATCTGGCGAGGACGTAATGTCTGTTGTCTCTTGAGTAAAGCTTCAATAATATTTGATGGGTTCTTGCTGTCTCAAGATGAGTTGCGATTTGAAAATATAGTACAGTTTTTCTCTCTTGACGATACATCATCACAAGAGAGCACTGCACTGTT